ACAGCGCTGGGCAGCTGCTGCTCTTGTCCCTTTTGGTGGCTTTGAGCTGGGCTGTGCTGGGGGAATGGCTGAGCTGATCCCGTTCCTTTGTAGCAGGGACAGCACATCTGCCCAGAGGGACAAGCAGGCAGGCAGGCAGCTTCCAGCATTCCCTGCCAGCCAGAGCCACTCCCTGACCAGGAAAGAGGATGAGGAGGAGAAGGGTCAGCAAGGCCAGCGTGGACTCAGCTTCAAATGCCTCCGTTCTCTGCGGTCCAAAATCCGTGAGGACGACTGGAGGAGGCCACAGGGCCCAGGCCTGGAGCCTGGCAGCCAGGTGAGCTCCAGAGCTGCTGGGGTGGGTGCCCACACTCAGGGCTGGCTCAGGGTCTCATCTGTGCCCATGAGGCTGAGCCCTGCTCCCCATGCAGGAACCAGAGGAAAAGAAAATCGCCCTGGAGCTGCTGGAGACAGAACAGGCTTATGTCAACCGCCTGCACCTCCTGGACCAGGTGAACTGGGGACTGGAGGGACCAGTGTAAGGGGATTTTGGAGGGACTGAAGCTGTAAAAATGAGAAACACGTGGGCTGCTGGTCTTTACAGCCAGAGATTGGGTCTGGCATTTGCCTTTTTTACACCCCACACCTGTGGGAAGCACCTTTGTTCCAGCAAAGCCTTCCATCCCCCTCTCCTCTTAGAGTTTGGGATTTTCCTCCTGCACAGACCTTTCACTGGGTGATGTGCCAGTCCCAGAGAAGGAATGGGATCCTCAAACATCTCCCTGGCCCTTTTTGTTCACCCTTCTTCCTTCCAGGTATTCTATACAGAGCTGATGAAAGAAGCCAAAACTGGGAAGACGGTGCCAGAGGAGGTGGTGAGGATGATCTTTTCCAACATCTCCTCCATCTACCAGTTCCATGCTGAGTTCTTCCTGCCAGAGCTGCAGAAGCGCATGGAGGATTGGTGAGCCTCAGGAGGGGAGGGGAGGGCAGCACACCTGGGTGTTTGGCCACAATGGGGGAGCAGCACTGAGTTCAGGCTCCCTCCAGGACCAGAGCTCAGCCTGTCACAGACATCTTTTATGAAAAATCCTTTCCTTAGGATTTTTCCTCCTGAGAAGCTGAGAGACCTCAGGAACAAAATGTAAACATTGATGTAAGCCTGCTGCTGTGGAATGCAACAGGTGCATCTGTGATTGGTCTCATGTGATTGTTTCTAATTAATGGCCAATCACAGTCAGCTGGCTCAGACCGA